TATGGGTGATAACCACTAGTTTTGTTACAGTCCAGCGGGAGACCCTTACTAGTAGGGGAGTCCATATATAAGTATATAACGTATTATGTAAGGTATATATACATACTACATACATAAAAAGTATTAAGCATCTGATCTGAATATGGCCATGAGAACCGAAAAAAATTCCAATGGCAGGTGAGTTCGGTTAATTAATCATTTGGCTCGTGGAGACTTAATAACCAACCAGCCCTTTAGGACAACACAATTAGGTGGTGTTGGTCAAGATGATGAAAATATATCAAGATGATCTACAGTGATGGAGTGACAGCCACTGTGGTCAACCTCCATATTTCATTTGAGCACCATTCATGCACATTCGAGGTCCTTAATTGAAAGGAAAAGGGAAGCCGGCCCTTTGGGTTGGTAGAGAAAAGGAGGGAATTAGAAACAAGAGTTTCAAATTTAGATACCCAAGTAATAAAGGATGTATTTTCAAAGCACAAGGGTCCCAAACTTGGTACAAATTATCAACTTTCTATCCCCAAAACACCTTCCACTATGTTGGCTTCATGCTTAATTTCAACCCTAAAGTCCCAATACAAATCCAATGTAGAGGGAACATAAGCATAGCACATGTGTTTTTTTTGTCTTACAAATGTGTAAATAGTTAATTTGTCTTCATCTAATGTCTAAGAATTCAAAACTCAAAAGTCTATTTCTCATGGCTAGCTATTGGGTAACTGGTTCATGCACAAATTAGTGTTTGACCTTCTAACATATCTATGTGTGTATATATAACGGTATCCAAACCCTAGAAATTCTAACATGCATGAGACAACGTATAGTTGATGTAACATCATCCAAGTTTCTTTAAACAAAAGTTATTGTGTATATTGAGCATTGAGAAAATTTTAGCTAATCTCAGGGACTAAAATAAGGAGTTGTGCCAATTTTAAAATCATTTTAACTATAAAGTTAATTGTAAATTAAGCGGTGCAATTAACTAGTCCTATATATTCTTAACTAAATCTTTTCATAACCTATAGAATCGTATATACGGTAATGGTATAATAGTGATGTGATATAATTGCATTTTTTTTAGCTTTAGAGTATTTAACAGTTAATTAAAAGTAAATTATAGTGAAGTAATGTCACCAAGATTTTCTCTTGATTGGAAATGCAAGATCCTGCCTGGAGCTGACATGCATGAACAAAATCAAGGATTGCTGCAATGACACTGACCCTTTCATCAAATATTTCTTTAAGTATAATTATATTTCTTTTCTTTGGAAATTATGACATTGACATTGAAAGAACTTCATCCTAGCCATTCATCCAAAGTCGTTTTGAATTTATATAATAATTGTAAAAAAACGAAAAACAAAAGCTGGAAACCCTCTCATAGCTAACTTCTTTAGTTCAGACATCCCATGTTTAGTGATCACATGGTGGGAATATTTTTAATTGGAAGATGTAAACATCATCGAGAGCGAGTGCCTTGATGCTTAAGCAAATCTTTTGCGTCTAATAATGCCCATTATCCACTAATAACAAGTGATTAGCTGGGGGACCATTTGTTAATTTAATCGAACCGACACCAATATATATACAAACAATCTTTAGGATTAAGATGCGATAAGATTCTCATACATGTTTCTTGTTGACAAGTGCTTTTGTTCCTTTAAACATCTCCTTGACAAACATTCTCCTCCATGTAACACCAAATTATTATGGTCCGTGTAGAAATATAAAATATCTCGATTACTGGAAACACATCATGTGTATAAATTACTATTGAATATGATTATTTTGTCCTTGACGATATACACAAATCATTAGTCGAAGTCTAACAGGCTAATGGACCCTATTCTCTACGAAGGCCCACAATCAACATGCCCATGGGCCCAATTCCTCATCAATAGTCCAAGTCGATCGTCATGCGACCTAAGCAGATTATTCTAATATGTAATTGGTTTAGTTATTATTAAGGGTACAAATGTAATACAGTTAGTAATATAGTTAGGTAGTTAGTATTTAGTTAAAGTAGTTAGGATTTCTTTATAAATAGTATGTGTAACCTTCATTTCAGTAAGTCAGTACAAAACCTATTTCTCTCTAAACTCTTTCTCTAAAGATTTTTTAGAGAAAGAGTTTAGAGAGAAATAGGTTTTGTACTGACTTACTGAAATGAAGGTTACACATACTATTTATAAAGAAATCCTAACTACTTTAACCAAATACTAACTACCTAACTATATTACTAACTGTATTACATTTGTACCCTTAATAGTTATCAGTCTCTTAGCAGAACAAGACTTTTCGATGCATATTCCAGGAATCTCAAAGAAATATGCCTTGACCAATGTGGAGATTAGCCTGATTAGGTAACACTCTGCTAACAAGATCAACGAACCTGGATGCTAGGACTAACTCCTCAGTCCTCTATAAATAGTCAAGGTCAACCACTTTATTTCTATAATCTAGAACTCTCACCATACTCTTATTACTTCTTATAGTCTTTTTGACTAAGGCATCAAATGCTCTTTGGCTAACACCAAACTGGTGTTAGTATAACTCTGTTTGTCTCTTTTCTTTATTTGTGTAAGTTTTCGATTCAATCTAAGGCAGAAATTTTCTCCCACAATCCATTTTCAAGGTTGGCCTATTTGTGGCTGGGACTGAGACGCTGCCTAGACTCCTATGAGGGGCAGCAGTGGGGAATTTTCCACAATGGGTTAAAGCATAACAAAGCGTGGAGGTAGAAGGCCTACGGGTCGTGAACTTCTTTTCTAGGAAAATAAGCAATGACGATATATGGGGAATAAGTATCGGCTAACTCTGAGCCAGCACCGGTGGTAATACAGAAGATGCAAGCGTTATCAGGAATGATTAGGTGTAAAGCTTATGTAGGTGGCTTTTTAAGTTCGCCGTCTAATTTGAGGCTCAACTCTGGACAAACGGTGGAAACTACCAAGCTAGAGTTCAGTAGGGGCAAAAGGAATTTTTCGGTGGAATGGTGAAATGTGTAGAGATTGGAAAGAACACCAATGGCGAAAGCACTCTAATGGGCTGACACTGACATTGATAGACAAAAGCTACAGGAGCAAATGAGATTCGATACCCAAGGTTTAAGATGAAAGGGAAATAAGATCTTGATCTGAATGTCGTCTGTTAACCGACTTTTTGGAAATTCTTTTTTCTGATAATTGAATTGTCTTTTTAGTCCCTCTCTTATGAACTTTAAGGTGTGTGAAGTTTTATTTTTAATTCAAGTAGGGTGATAGAAACTCCATTTAACTTAAGTTGATCTAGGCCAGAAGCAGACCTATGTTAGCAGTTGCATAACCCTTAATGCTTCATCTATCAAATAAAAAACAAAATTTAACATACGTATCCATTATCCTGAGCGGATTAGCGGGAATCAAATCCGTATCTTCTCCTTGGCAAAGAGAAACTTTCCCATTTGACTATATCAGCATTATATATAATTATTATGGGGCAGTTTGATAACTAGGTTAATTTGATGACATGATATGACAGTTTTATACTAATTTTCTTCTATTAGCATGGTCACTTAGTAAATATCTTAAACATTGAAAAACGTTAGCGGTTAAGCGCTCCCGTATAAGTGTATAGATTCAAAGGATTGTACGGTGCACGTGCAAGTGGATGCAATAAGCCGATACGTGGCTAGAGCATTTGAAAGAGAAAAATAAATAATTTGGGTCGTGAGGGGGACAAGTATGAATATCTTTAATCATTAATTTGGTCTTAATCATACTTTATGAACTACAACTTTAATATTATGCTCTTACATTGGAGGTTAGAAAACCAAGCATGGGAGATATCTTGGTCATGGCATGATGAGTTTGACTTTTGGAGAAATTTCCGTTTGCTCAGTGGACCTAGCTATTCTGCTTCCAAAAAGAAATTCCACAATTAAGGCTCTCCATGGATGATGATCCAGTATTTGAAGCAAAGTATATACGCATATTTAATTAGAAAATGTTTTGGGAATAATATACTAAGAGATAACTTCGCTAATTTTGGTCATACTACAGGTGCGGAGGTTTAAATATGAATAAATGAAGATGGCAAATATATACTAAGAGATAAATCCGCTAATCTTGTTCAAACTACATGTGCGGAGATTCAAACTTGAATGAAGAGACGAAAACATTCACCTACATAATGTTGTTTAATTACATTGTCTGTTTGATGCATGCTTAGAACTTGAATGGGGAGGCAAACGGGATTTTGAGAAAAGATTGGAAATAAAATTTGGCTACATGGGGGGCCCAAAGACCCTTTCTTGCCATGCGGTGCCTAGAACAAACAAACAAAGAAAGCAAAGCATGGCCAACAAAAAATCATGCTCTCGTCACACCAGCATAACAAGATAGAGTGGAGAAATGACTTAACACAAATTCAAAATGCTGTTTGATTTATTAAGTTATTGCCTTCAACATCACCTCCCTTCTTTTGTCCCCCTAGGGTTACCAATGAGCCAAGCTCCATCATGGGGTTTAAAGTCATCAAGCCATGCAGAAAAGGTTAACTGGAATGGACTAACATGCCCTCCCTCCCTCTCTCTCTCTCTCTCTCTCTCTCTCACACACACACACACCCCCACCCACCATACATAAAAGGAGGGATAAGAGCCAATGACCCCTTTACTGATTCAGATTGATGACGTGATGAGAGAGATAGAGATAGAGATAGAAATAGAGGGACATTACAACAGTTACAAGGGGGAATCTCTCCCTCAACTTCCATTATCGATGGTAGAGACAAACCATGAGTTCCCTCATGGGGTTTCAGTTCATTGGTCCATACGCGCGCTTGCAGCACAAAAAGCCTCTCCAACACACGCACGCAGACACACCAGACATACCTAAAAAGGGGAGGGATAAGAGTATAGGATCGCATTAAGAGACTTAATAAAACATTAGAATTTATCTCGAGTTCAATAAATAATAACTATTCTTGAAAAAATTAAATGGCAAGTGCAACAGGACTAAAGTTATAAGAAGCCTTGCTTTGATATTTCCAAAATTATGTAAGATCAGTACAAAATTTCAAGTAATTTAGACCTTGGCCTTCATACACATATAAAATAGAACAAAAAGAGATGAATTCCGCTCCTGTATGATCTGTTCGAGTCCAACTACACATTTAGAACCTGTTTCCGAAAGTGGGGCACTGGAAACTCACTCGTGTTATAAACACGTGACTATTCTTCTCTGCCTCTGCGATTCCTGATCTCATAATTTACTGGCTTCAGTTTTCTGTTTCTTTTGATTTCGTGTAGTTTCTTTGTGCGGTCTTCTGGTACAGAGAAAAATGTAACTGAAGTTAATCAACTAGTGGTAGGGAGCTAAAAGCATAAAATTAACACCTGATGCATATGTACAATACATGATTGACCTTTCAAAACCATTGCAAATCTTTTTGGCAGGTAAAAAACTTCCGGTAAAAAAAAAAACCAACATCATGCTCATGCTTATGCTGAATCCGGTAAGGATTAGTATTTAAAGGATGATGGGGTTTGGGAGAGAGGGGACATCAAAAGGAAATTATGAAACACCAAGGTTATCCATGGGGGGAAATTTGGCGTCCTGTTTCACCACTCATTGCCAGCTAAAAAACAATATCAATTCAGTTTGAAAAGAGTATTAAACGTTGGAGCCACCACATGCATTCTGAAACTTGGTAAAAATCGACCCTCAAAAAAATTTCATATGATAAACTTTATGAGAATTCCCGTGGTTCCACAAACTTGAGAAAGTAAGTATAAATCAGTATCAACAGCATATAAATACTACCAGCACAGAACCAAGACTCAATAGTGTTTCCTGCGGCATATTGTTGTCTGCATTACTAGACATACAATAATACCAAAGGCATGAAAAAAAAACAGAACCACAAGTGAATAAAAAGTCTAAGAAAAAAAAGCGATCAGCCATTCTCACCCACATAAACATGTCCATGTACGTTTACATATGCTTTTAGTCATTTGCATATACACACACATACACATATTACAACTCACAAACATCATATTGTTACCAAAAAAGAAGCAATATTGACCCTTGTTGTCTGAACTAACCTTTTTATTGGACCCTTTCTCGAATCAATACCAATACAGGCCATTATCTCTTCAAGACTCATAATATCACCAAGGTTATGTTTTAATAGATTGCAACTTCCCATAAATGCAGCAGATTCTGGCGGTGCCAAGTCCTTTACCTTATCTTTGACGCATTCCATCAGAACAAATGCTGCACAAATCCTCAGTGATGAAATGAATACAGTCACAAAATTGTGCGCTTCTAAATATAAAAACTCAAATACAAAAAGTTCTATTACTAGTTATCTAGTAGCTTGAAGCTTGATCTTTACCAAGAGGTAACATTAAAAGGCATCCAAAACATGTAGGAGGGATATTGGTTTCAGGATAATGAGGCCTGATCAAATCCCAAACCAGAAACACCCATGCAAACCAAACACTATCCCGAATGTGATATGTAATGGAGGTATGCAACCAAACCTTCCCAAACAAAACAAGCAAAGCCACACCAAATAAAGCAAGAATTTGCTCTTTCCTTCTGCTAATTTCAGTATTTCAAAAACAGAAAAAGATCATAAGGAGGATTATTCGAAAAGAAGGAAAGGCAAATCCGAGTTGCACATCCAAAGCACAAGTCCAAGAAAATAAAGCTAGCAGCCACAACTACATGAAACTGTATGAAAGTCAAGCCTAATTGACAGCCCTAGAAAATTATTCTCAAGTATATTCTGAACTGTATGAAAGTCAAGCCCCTTATTGTGCACTTGTTTATTGATATGAAAAAAGCCGCAGATTTGAGCTTGGATTTCATTTGATCTTCACTTGGTTGTTAAAAGAAAAGGCACAAGTAGCCCTTTTCTTCTTTCTTAAGCTGAGGCCAACATACTTGTTTACTGTGTCTTTTCTTGAGTCCAGCCTCCGTGCAAGGCAATTACAATATATAATCTACAGATCTTTTCCAAGTGAAAAACCTGAGGAGAAACCACCAGGGTTTACTTTAATTACGAAGTTGAGAAACAAGTATAAATAGCTTATTTTGCCTCTCACATTATTCTCAGGAACGCAGTAACAAGCCACACATAGTTTCCAGCAAAGAATGTCACCAATTAACAGAAAACACATTTCTCACTATTGAAATTGGAAATCCATAATAAACCAGTGAGCTATAATTTAAGTGACAACTACTGCAGAAAAGACGAGCAAAAGTTCTACCCCTCAATCCGATACCCTTATTGTCAATACCACAAATCCCCTCATAAGTAAACAGAATTGTCAGTTAAAGCATCAACTTTTGGCTTTCATTGTTGAAAACATAACCCAGCCTCAATCCATCCATCCAAGGATCATATAAGAACGCTCATCATAAGCTTCGGCTTCTGATGCAGATGCTAATCACAATTTTTAACCGTATCACTCATATACCAAACCCTTAACACGCAATCAAAAGTTGGAACACAAAGTTTCGAACTTTATGCACAATGCAATCAATGAGGTATTTTACTTTCTTTATTGCTCGAATCAAGAGCTCAATTCGAAATTCGACAACCAAGCAAAACAAAAAACATCGAAACAGATAAAGCTACCGCCTATCGGACATACCAAGAGCTCGAAGCACCTTGAGATCAAACTTTTGAGCAAGTTCATCGCACCCAATCATCCTTGCACGATGAAGAACAATCCTTTTTATGCTAATCAACATGTCCTGCCATAAAATTGTGTGTTTAATTCCAATTTTTCGACCCCATTAACCATAAAGCTCTAATCTTTAACGTCAACTTGTCTACTTTTCTATGTACAATTTGATATGAACAATGAAAATTAACAAACGAATTCATAACTTTAATTTACCAAAAAAATAATAAATCGAGAAATTAAGTATGTAAATAATACTTACAAGTTCGGACTCAGAGAGCGAGCAGAGCCAGCTCACATCGTCAACCCTGTTCTGCCCTAATATCCCTTCCATCGTCAACACGAACTGATTTTATTTACCGGCACTGCCGAGCCTCCGCAGAGCAGACGTTTGGGGAGTTGGCACACACGGTGGGAGTTTTCTGAACCCTTTTTTCTTCAGTGCAATTTACGGAAAACCCCCCGAAGGTTTTAGAAATAACACTGACATCCTTGAGGTTTCAGTTAGTTTCATAAAACTCTGTTTCGTTGAAGTCATCATGAATTTTGAATGAGGATCGGATCCTCTTCGGATCCTCTTTATGAGGATTCCGGAGATCTTTCAATCACATTCGTTTATCATATATCGTGAGTTCAAAAATAATTGTAAATATTTTTATTTAAAATTAAATATATATAGTATTTGATGAAAATTAACCGCACAATGTACGATGAATGGATATAATTGAAGGATTATCGGGATCCTCACAAAGAGAATCCAAAGAGGATCCTCATTCATGAATTTTTACCGGACAAATTTAACCCCAAAGATTAAGCTTACACCACATTAACCTCTCATTCATACCCCTTAAGTATATTTGTGTTTTCTCAAATAAAAATAAGGTTGTAGACAACACTGCCCTTTATTTGGAGGACGATTATCTTCCCTCCTAATCTCTTTCTTCTCATACTTGAGCAGTTACGGTTTAGTCAAGTCAACATTTTATATTAATTTTTTTTATAGAGACAGTAAAACAAAAAATAATGTGTGGAAAGAGAAGAGAGAACAAGATATAAATACGAGGGAAGAAAACCATACTCATTTTTATTTTAGACACCATTTGGTTTGGTTTCTTTTGGTTCAACGATTTTTATACCCAGCCCTACTAGCTACAGGGAGGTTCGGAAAATGACGTCAATATAGTTTTGTATAAAACCCAATACCGAAAGCCCATGTAAAAGAAAAGAAAATGTTTTATTTACGTTGCTTTTGCAATACAACAATAAAAACTAATTTTCGACCAAAAACCCTGCTCTCTCAACACACTCGATTTCCAGAATTCCTTCCAAAAATACGACTCAAGAATCTCATTGTTAGCTCTATAATTCAAACTTCGTATTGAAAATGTGAGCTCCAGTTTATTTTCTGTTTGGTTCCCGGGAAAATTTCACTTCGGCGGTTTCTAACGCACCGCAAGGTTGTTCAATTTTCAGGTCGAGGATTTGCGTCAAGAATTTGCCCAAGCATGTGAAGGAGGACCGACTCCGGGAGTTTTTCTCCGCGAAAGGAGAGATTACGGACGCGAAGCTGATGCGGACGAAGGAGGGAGGGGAAGAGCCGGCAGTTCGCGTTCATCGGGTTCCGGACGGAGAGGGAAGCTCAGGAGGCCACGAAATACTACTACGACAGGTCGTTTTTAGATAAGTGTAGGATTAGCTGTGAGATTGCGAGGAAGGTTGGGGATCCGGAGATTCCCCGGCCGTGGAGCCGGCATTCGAAGAAGAAGGAGGGGGAAGGGGGTGGAGGCGAGGAGAAGAGGAAGAAGGAGGAGCGCGGGGGCGGGGGCGGGAGTCTTGAGGTGGAAGATGAGAGTGGTGATGTTAAGCTTCACGAGTTTTTGGAGGTGATGCAGCCGAGGGCAAAGTCGAAATTGTGGGCGAACAGCGCGGTGGTGGCTCCCGTGGCTGAGAAAATTGGGAAAAACAAAAAGGAAAGTGAGGAGAAATCAGGAGCTGAGAAAATTGGAAAAACCAAGAAGGAAAGTGAGCAGAAATCAGTTCTGGTGGATATGGAGGAAGAAGAGAAAGGTGCTAAGAAGAATGATAAACGCAATGTAGCAAAGGACGATGTTGTTTCGGATATGGATTACTCAAGAGCAGAGTGAAGACTGAATGGTCGGATTCCGAAAGCAGTGAAGAAGATGATAATGAGGAGGAGGAGGAGGAGAAAGAGTTTTGAAAAGTCAATGAAAAGGAGCAAATTAAAGTTCATGAAGAAGAGGATGGAGAGAAGGGGCATTCTGAGGATGCTAATGGCCAAGTAATTGACGAGTGCAATCCGTCATCCACTTCGAAAGATGAGAATGAAGAAGCGTTTGAGAGTGGTCGTCTTTTTGTTCGTAATCTTCCATTTACAGCAACTGAGGAGGAGCTGGAAGAGGCTTTTAGCAAATTTGGAGATGCACAGGTCCATCTTGTTATTGATAAAGAGACCAATCGGTCGAAGGGGTTCGCTTATGTTCTTTACAAGCTTCCTAATGTGCAGAAAGGTACTCTTTTTTTGCTCCAAAGCTCACATGGTGCAATAACTTAATGATTTCATCCATGACAAGTATCATGCTATGTAAAACTGTAAAACTTGCACTTCTTCAAGTTTCCTACCATGCCTTGATATAGCCAAGGCCCAACTTTTTCCAAGTTTTGAGCCCTAAGAAATTCAAAAGAAGTAGAATTTTGCTTAAAAACTGTTTCAATTGCCGGTTTATCTAGGTTAATTTTTTTACATTCAAGTCTCTTACATTGGTTATGGTGTTTGAGCGAGGGCATGACGTTCTGTTTTGCTAATTCACGTATGTTTTCTTAATAAAAAAAACATTGTTGATTTGTCTTTCCTCTCTTTTGGTGAAGGGCATTAGAAGCATTAGATGGTTCCAAGGAAGATTGTTGCATGTCATGCCAGCAAAACAAAAGAATCCAACTGAGAAGCTAGGATAAGTAGTTATCCTAAATTGCCCGGTTATCTCAACGTCACTTTAGGGAATTTTATTGTGACTACTCTTTTATTGGGTTTTGTCTCTGCGGTTGAATTTGGCATTGCTTACCCTATAGGGCTGATGATTCAGCAAGCCAAGCTTCAAAACCTCTCAAGAAACAAAGGGAGGATAAGAGGAAAGCATCTGAAGCTAGTGGCGATACAAGGGCATGGAACAGTTTGTTTGTGCACCCTGATACGGTATGGTAAACACAGTTTCAAACTGACACTATAGTAATATGCACACATTTTCCAGAAAGAGATGGTATATGAACATGTTTTGGTTTTGACATTGTTCAACCACCCTCCATACTTCTCATCATTTTTAAAACTTTTCTCTAGCACATGTAAAACCTTGATTGTTTGTTTTTGTCTTGTTTTGACACTGGTAGGAATAGCATCAACTTTTACTGCCATGCTTTATTGAGTTACTTTCTAATTTTTGTTTGATGATGCTTCATTTCTAATTTTTACATCATATTAAATAGGTCATTGAGAACATAGCTCGGAAGTATGGTGTGAGCAAAGGTGATTTGCTTGACCGAGAAGCTGATGATCTCGCTGTACGGATTGCTTTGGGAGAAACTCAAGTGATTGCAGAGACCAAAAAGTCTCTTACAAATGCTGGTATAAATGTAGAATCCTTAGAGAATTTTGCTGCTGGGAAAACTGATGGTGTTAAAAGAAGCAACCATGTTATACTGGTGAAGAACTTGCCATACGGTTCTACTGATGGTGAACTGGCAAAGATGTTTGGGAAATTTGGGAATTTGGAAAAAGTTGTTCTCCCGCCGATGAAGACATTGGCCTTGGTATGTATTCTTGTGTTCTTCTATCAAAGACTTTTTCTTATTTTTATTTAGTTTACAGCAGATGTGCATTTGCTAGGTTGATGTTAAAAACATGTTTACAGTGTTTTCATCTTGTATTTAGTTTCTAGTAAAATATATTCTGGAAATCATGTTTCTGACTGCTAATTAAAAGGCAGTTAGACTTTCTACCTTTCACATTTCAGTTCAGACATCATTGTGATGATGAACACTTGACCTTGCCAATCATAATTTCATCGATTGTTTTGTCAACGGTTTGTTCATTTCTTGCCCTACCTCCTGATATAAAATTGGCATTCTAATCAAGGTATTGAACCTTTTTTATGTTTTCTAATATGGTGAGTTTTATTTAAGAAAAGAGGGATGAGGGAGATACCAAAAAAAAAAAAAAAAATGTTTTTGATAGGTATATCAATTTTTAAGTGACCCTACAGTAGATCAGTCGGTATGAAGTTGTTCACTGATTTGGAGAGTGGAGTTTTTGACTTGTAGTCTGATAGTATCTGGTAGTTTACCGTAGCTGGAACAAAGTTTGACCATGATCATTCAGACTAAGGCAATGAAAGGGTGGAAGTGACACAGTTCTCTGAGTCATTAAGATTTTTTGATGAGTAGAAAAGAGTAGTTTTGTAATGTTTTATGAAATTGGACACTTTGCTTTTGGTTTTTTAATTAGTTGAGTTTTTCAAATCCTCTTTGACACTTGGTTAATCATGCCTCATTATGTACTTTTATTCTCCCAATCTTTTGATACTACAGGGAGGAAGAAACTTCTAGATTACTATATTAGTCTACTATGATGCTGTGTTGTTAAAGAGTGATTCTCTACTAATTATTTTCTTGAATTATCATTCTTCAGGTTGTTTTTCTTGAACCTGCTGACGCTCGAGCAGCTTTTAAAGGTACAAGCGCTACAAGTGTTGAAAAATCTTGTATGTAGGTTCCAGCTTTCATGTTTGTATTCTCTGTGTGGGGGTGGGGGCTACTTATATTCTCCTAGTTTAGAAACGAGCTGGTTTTTATTTGCTTCCTTGGGGTCAAATACAAGATACATAGTATAAAAGAGTGTAAAGTAGATACCTATTCACTTCAATGGCTTACTTATTTTTGCTTCTGGTCTCTTTTCCGTTGGCTCAGTGACAGAATGAATTCTCAACAAATGTAGGCCCAGAACTATACCTCATGTCAATTGAAAAGTACCCTTGATTCGACTTGGTATCTTTATGCATAAGTATATGGGTTTTTCCTGTAGGATATCTGTTGAGGCATATTATTAGTTGCAATAAAAATCTTTTTGTTACTCAGTTATGTCAGAGAATAAATATTCTTTTCCCCATGTACAATGAATCAATGATACAGGGATGGTCCTTTATATTTGGAATGGGCTCCTGGTAATGTTCTTAGTCCAAGTTCAACAACTGAGAGCATTGAAAAGAACAATGCTGTTGTTGGTGAGCATGATGTCAAAAGGGTTATGTTAGAGCAGTATGTGGGAGGAATCGCTGATGTGGATGCGGATCCGGATAGAGTTGAGGTTGGTGTTTGCATGCTTTTCTTTTTTCCATTAGTTTTATTTTTTTCTTCCTCATTTGTCTACACAACTATTCATATGACAAACAAACTTG